TGGAAGCCAAAATATATCAGGAATATTAGTGCGCAGCTACAAGAAGAGAAGAATTGAACCTATAGTATATGTAATAATCTCTATAATATAAATGTTTAAATATTAATTTGACAAATATTTATTTACAAATATTTATTTACAAATTAAAGTTATGATATTTCGCATCGATAAAGATGAATTTATAAAAGAATAGAGAATAGTTGAACATCTGAAAAAACTATAATATTTAATACATTATAAATTATAATATGTTTAAGCGATAATTGACGCTAACTCAATAAATATCGAAATTCGAGAAAACAACACTGAAAGATAATTGATTAATATTGATCGTACGAAATGTAGATGCGATAAGTATGAGATCGATTAGATCGTCTACTACAAAATCATGACCAATGACAAGATCGACAGCAGTTCCATTTATGCAAAGGCCACGTTATACTTCTACACGTCAGTGAAGGTAAATCTATAAAGGAAGAGAATAGTTTATTATATTTAAGAAATTATAACATATTTATTAATCTATAGTATAAATTTTTAAGCGCTAATTCAGATATCGAAAGCAAATATCGAAATTTGATCAAAGAAACAACTGAAAAATAATTCACGTGATCGTAGTGGTCGCAATAATATGTTCAATTGGAATTAGATCTGGCGCTAAAACGTGATTAACAGCATGATCGACAGAGATTCCATTTACACAAGAGCCACGTTGTATTTCTCGCCGGTAAAGGTAAGTTTATAAATACTCCGGGATTCAAAATAGACATTGGACAGTTCGTGTACGTCGCAAACCGCATGGAAACGTCCGGAACTCGACGGAAATTCAAATATCTCTAAGCACGTTATCTTTGGTGATTTAAGACACGATGATTTAAGAATCAGTTTCTCGTCATATTTACCTCCACCGAAAATTATTCTCGCTCGTTACACAATGAATATAGATTTATCGCACTCAAGCGTGCGAATAATCGTATTGAAGAGCACATACCATATTTAAAGTTTCTTTTTATTGCATCAATTCTTTCCGTATGTTATTTTTTTTATTATATATCATTATATATCATGAGTCGTCAAATGAAATTCTTTTTGAATCAAGAGCAAATTTCACGAATATAATCTAGTAAGCTTAAAAATTTGCAAAAATTTGCAATTTGCAAATTTGCATCACACTGTGATGGCTAAATACACATTTTTATAAAATACATCTCGTTAATAAAAAATAAAATAGATTGTTTATTTGCTAGGAATAACATTTTATTTTGTATTAAATAATGTTTATTTCATAATGAATATCATAACAAATATTTTTCTCTCAGTGTAAATACAAGTCTCTGCCATTTTTCAAAGAACAAGAATTTTTAACTTAAATAATCATTTTTATTCGTTATTGTCTCTTAATCCAATTTCATATATATTACAATATGTAATAATTAAACTTAAAAATCAGAATAATTTAAAACCTTATAATCAAAGAAGCTTGATTAAAGATAAGGATATTATAATGAGGGTGATCTAGCAAATTTGCAAGTTTTACGTCGCGGTACCCTCGAAAATCCAAAAATTCTTTTACAGAGAATTTACAGAAAAATAGTTCCATTTGTATCTATTTTTATTGCCTCTCATAAATAAAAAATTCTATATAATATATTATAACGTTGGACATATCGTTAAACCTTTTTCTCTGAGTAAAGGACACGGGAGGATTCTAATAAAAGTCATCTAGTAGATATAAGTTTTGCGTCGCGGCCACTTTCAAAGCCACGAATTCTTTATAGCAGCTAGTCTCACACACACACACACACACACACACACACACACACACACACTCCCATCCCAGATACTTCTCTGGTCCCGGATATACGTTTCCAGCTGTAACTAGGACCGCTCTCAGCGGTATAAATCAAAAACGGACTACGTTTGTGCCACTTTTCGTTCATGAGGCGGCGTACTTTGACGGAGATTATAGTCGACCACATGTGCTGATGTGTAAAGGCACGTAAAGATCACTGAAATGTGAACAAAGACGTGACATTTTCATTAAAGTCGTTAGTTTGACGAGTATCCTTGAAAATATAAAGACAAAGGTATCACTTTCAAGATATTGAGTTCTTTTAAAGATATTATCATTTTAAAATGATTTCTTCGTAAAAATCCAGGCTTCGATTACAAAGCTTGTAATTATATTAATTTTTATTTTATCGCTAAATTATTGCTAATTTTTCTTTTTTTAATATAGTATCTAATTAAAAAGTGAAATAGAAGATAAAGTCTTCAACTGTTTATCTCTCCTTTAGTTTTTTTAAATTTATATCATGGAAAAGTGTCCTCTCCAATAACTTAATTAATATTTTAATACATTATTTAATTAAAAAATTGAAAATAAAATTCTATAAACGTATATCTTCTTCGTTAATTTTTCATTTATTTCATAATTAAAAATATATTCCGCAGTAACTAAGTCCCTTCTTTTAATACAATATCTAGTTAATTAATAATGTTGCAGATATAAAGTACTTACTATGTATTCATTACTATATATTCATTAAAATATAGATGTTTCTTATAATAATATTTCTAATTTTGTAATGTAATTAAATTAGGAAGCTAAATTCAAGATAAATAGCTTTTTAACTATTTATTTTCTTAAAATTAAATATTTTTCACTTTTTTAAATAGACGATACTGCACATGCATTACCGCATAATATTATAGATTATAACAGTAGTGATAAAAAAAATATCAATTTCTTCCTTTTATATTCTATTGTACAATTTTATCAATATATACATATATCAGCGGAAACAAATGTAATACATTTGTTTCCGCTGATATATGTATATTTATTTGAAACGATATTCCTCGTTTATTGAACATTAATTTTTTTTCATTTTTTCCCATTTTATCATCCTTTTTAATGTGACTGTTTTTATTCCAACTGAGAAGATACGATTATGATATACTTTTTTTCAAATATTATCTCCAGTGGTAATATCGTCAACGGCGGTCTCTCATCGATCGGCTGTCCATAATGTATCTTCCGAGTGAATCAATAATAAGTATACTTATTATTATATTGTTAGCATCGTTTGTCGTAACGTGTATTCATCCGCATGTCGCACGCACGCTCAGAATCCTTGTCAGTTGCATTGTTATATCAAGGATATAATCAACGCGATGTTGCAAATGCTTTAAAGCGTTTTTTAATAGGTCAGTTTGTAAAATTCTTTTTTCTAATTGGTCCATCAAACACTTCAAAGCATTTGCAGCGAGACTTTGACTACAGCCCAAGTGATTAAGTATCAGAAATAGCAGAAACGTAGAAACGATAATGAATGACAGCTGCTGAGCATTATGCTAAATTTCCTTGTCAAACAACGAGTCTTGTGTTGTAATCAACAGATTACAATGATGGCTTCCGCCGGTGAGTACGGTATACATTGATAACGTGTTATCACGATTTGATGTAATGACGCTGATATAATGAACACTAGCGAATTAGTATTAATTATAGAATATTAGTGGTAGGATACAGAATCGTGTAACAACGAACGCAGTTATTGCATCATTTGTCTCATGTATTCATTTTGTCACTCAGTAATTAAGTCAGCAAGTGCATCAATGACGTAGCTAAGCGTGCATTCAGCACATTCAAGACAATAATGGATGCTTTTCTATTTAATGATCAAAGCGATAAACATTTTCTTTTCTTGGAATCAATGAATAGCAAAGATAAAATCGACTTGTGTCGATTTGTATCATCGAATGCAAAGCATGCAATGCATTTATGGTTTTGAGTTGTTAATGCACGTGAAGGGTATTTATCGAAAAATTTTTTTAACGTGATTGGCTATAAGATAAAGTATTTATTACTGGAGAATTTTTTTGTTCTGTAACAGTTACAGTTTGTGAAACGCTGAAATTTATACTTCTATTCTAATATCCTTGCGATTCTAAATCATTTATCGTTTCTTTTTATTGTTCATACCCTTCGGCATAGATTGCCGGTTCAGCGGAACTGTCGATTCTCTCCCTCGTAATTTATTGTATTTCAGTTGGTAGCATTTCTAGATCATGTTGCAGCATTCGAGAAATCAGAAGCTACGAATGTTTCGACTCGCTCGACTGATTGATTCATCATCTGGCAATCGACATCGCTCTGTGAAGTTGGAAGTTTAGCGAAAATCGAGAGATATTATTCGCTCAAAATATTCTCTGCTTTTACTAAATATCATCACGTACGCGAATATTTGGTTATGCATGTGTGTATTCTATTAGATTTGGTTGATTTAGTTACACTTCCTTCGCGATAAAGGTGTACATTTGTGTATTTTATCATGAGGGAAGAAAGTACAGGTTGTATAGGTGATCAGACGGGCTTATCTGTTCGAGATGGCGCTTATGTTTTGTTTCGGCGGGAAAGTTGCGCGCTGGTTCATTGTCTGTGTTCGTCTTCATTGGTGTCATTCCCGCCTTGTCGAGCTGAAAGATCAAGAATCGTTACTTTTGAAACTGCATTTTCATCAAAAGTTACTGCATTCGTACACTGTATCGGGTCACACATGTTGTTATTCGATTCACGTTGATTTAGGAGTCAGTTTTGAATCGTAAACGAATAAACATCTCGTGCAATAATCTCTTGGTAAGTGACAAAATGTTGTAAATGTGACTGAGAATTGAAATGGAGTTTAATTGTCTGATCGATGAAAATATTTCAATAATTTTAATAATTTGTTACTGTGTGGCTTTGCGCACATAAATTAAGTAAAAATAAATATTAAATATTAATTTAACTAAATTAAAAATCAAGATGTACAAAAGAAAATTTTTGATAAGATTACATATATTACATATTTTCTAACTGATAAGATGGTCGATATTTAAAGACATATAATATTCTTTCATTGTGTTGATTAAAATATATGTTTCACATCTATACTGTTGATAAATTAATTCTAGAAAAATATTGTTATTTAAAGTATATTGTAATACAGAGTCTACAAGGATAGAAGTTGCGGTGAGTCATAGAATTTTAAATTGTAGAAGATTAATCAATTAGTTCAATATGAAAACTTGACTATGATTGGTTTCCTACAATTTAAGACTTATACCGCTATAACTCTTATTGTAGACTTCCTATTACTATTTGCAGTATATGAGGTATTTCTTACTGAGCCAAGCAGATCCTTAGTATGTTTTCAGTACTAAGTAATGAAATCAAGTATGTCATCTGTTTAGGTAAAGAAGCTCTTAAAGCCTTTATCAAAATGTCTGGTTCTATTGGTAAACTATATAAACGTCCTTTCACTGTATGCATAGAGGGCAACATTGGAAGTGGTAAAACAACATTTTTAAGTCATTTCAAGAAATTCGACAATGTTACTGTATTAGAAGAACCTGTTGAACTTTGGCGTGATATATGTGGGACAAATCTACTGGTGAGACAGAAAATATTTTCCTTTAAAACTTAAGAAATAATTTAATATAAATATTTATTTTTGTTGTTAAATCTTAATTATTTAAAAAGACTTCATAACAAATAAGAAAATGCAGAAATGTTATATCGAGTGATTATTTAACATATTAATATTATTAAGCACAATATAGTGTCTATCTTTATTAAAAAATGTCTGAGATTGTTATATCAAATAAACGCGCATATATAACAATAATACAAAAAAATAATTAAATTAATATCTTAGAATTATGAACTATATATATTTTATATAAAATATTACTGTGCTTATATTAATAATTAATGTAGATGTCATGATAATATTAATATTATATTATTATATATATCTATATTAATAACGAAGAATAGAAATTGAATTAAACATTACAAAAATGCATTGCAGGAATTAATGTACAGCGAACCATCTCGCTATGCTTTCTTGTTTCAATCTTACGTACAATTAACTATGCTCCAATTGCACACTTGTAAAACACCCTCGCCATACAAAATCATGGAGAGATCTGTCTACAGTGCAATGTGCTTCGTTGAAAATTTAAAACGCAATAATATACTACGTGATGTTGAAGTTACAATATTAGAAAATTGGTATGACTGGTGTTTGAAAAATGCCAATATAGAAACTGACTTAATAGGTACATGTATGGATTTTATGAGAAATTATAATTGAAGAAACATCTATTGTATATATTTATTTAATTTATTTCTGTTCTTTGCTAAATAGTATATTTGAGAACAACACCTGAGATCGTGTATGAAAGAATGAAACAACGAGGTCGAAAAGAAGAGAACGCCATCTCGTTAGACTATCTGAAGCAAATTCATCAGGTCCATGATGACTGGCTCTATCATCAAATTTTAAAGCCATTGCCATCGCCGATTATAACGATAAACGGTGATCGAGAGCTACATGAAATGGTGGAAGAATTTGATAAATGTAAAAATGAAATCTTCAGCAAGGTAATAGACGAAAGCGATGTAAATAATACGATGATTACGGTATCGAAAAATCGCGTACTACCCAAAATTAAAGCTGTTTCAGATTAAACGTAAAGTAAAAATAATAATTAATTTAAATACGATTGAAACAAACCTGTCATGCATTTAAATTGATTAATTATTACAACTTCGTACATTGTACTATTTTCATTTTACTGGCCGCATTTATTACTTTTATTGCATATATTTATTTCTTTTTTCATCATATTAATAATATGTTAAAGACAATACGACGTAATTGACCAATTATTTTATATTAAAGGATTAATTTTACATTTTGCCAGTATTCAAATTACAAAGGTAATTTAATTTATTAACGATAAATTTATATCTGACTCAATGTGTATTAATTGAATTTATTTTATTATTATCATTGATATTTATTTTATTATTCTAAATTATTATTAATGAGAGAAATTTGTTGATATTTTAAGTTATTTTGTACATTTAAATAAATTCCTTGTAACGTACTAGATTCTATTCATTGAATACAAAATAATGTTAGTATCAAAGAAATAGAAAACAAAATATCTGTGGAGATATTGCGTGATAAATGATAAATTACTTACAAAAAAATTGTGAAAACACGAGCGTAATTATATTAGAATATTTAATATATCCAAAAATTTTTTATTCTTTTTTTATAAAACTGTTTTGTAAGATGTTTAAAAGGAAAGAATTACAAAAATGATATTAGATAAATTAATATATATAGAATATATATTAATTTATATAATAAAATCTAAGAATTTAAAAATATAAGAATAGAAAGAAAGAAAGAAGTTATTATTTACATTGTATCTACATGTGTATATTTTAATTTATGTAATGATGTAATTTTACTGTGTAACATCAACAAAGGCATATGTTTTTACATATGGACTTTGTACAATGATAAAAGAAATACATATTGTTTGGAAAATTGCATGTTTATTTCTACTAGATTTTATAAAATTAGGGATAAGTATAAAAAAATGTATGTATGTGTACACACACACACACACACACACACACACACACACACACTGTGTGAATATTACACATGTATATTGCGCAAAGCGACGTTACAAGTTCGTCCGTGATGTATTATTAACCAGATCATGTTCCTACTTAAAACACAGGCTCAATACGATTTCATATAATGTCATATCGAAGATTGAATACGAATTAGTCTAGAACAATATTCTGTCAGCCTATTTAACATTTAGATGAATGTAAACGATCTTTGCAATTGAAATGATGCGTCTATAAACTCTTTATGCGCTAAAATATGTATAAAAACAGTGAAATGATATTTCGAGTAAAAAAATAATCACAATCATTTACGTAAGCGTATATAAGCGTTAGATAGAGATTTTTATTTGCCGCGCCCAACTAAGACGGATTCTTGCGAGCTGAAACTAATCGCTCGACGCAGTCATACTCCTGGCAAGACCATAGTATGCTAACTAACGTGCCGAGTTGAGCATCTCGTGTATTAGCTTGCTTCCAATCAAGCAGTAACTGATAGATTACCTGAAATCACACATGGATTAAAATTAACATAAATTGTTCGCTATTAGTATACATTTATAAGAAATTTGTGAATTTCACATAAAACATTTAATCACATGTAATACTTAACATTTTATTAATAGTAATTAATCGGTCGTAAACGAATGAATTTCAAAATGTTGTTCAAACAAGATTAGTCTGATAAAAAAATTACTAAGATTGATGAATCATTCGCGATAGAATATCTGATTCTTAGAGTTCGATATTCACCTCATCGATACCCTTGTGTCTATAATTCTCTTCGAATTGATCGATCTGTCCGTCCGAATACGAGAGTCTTCTCGCGACGTCTCGCCATCCATGTCCAACGTGTGTCTTAAGAATGAACATATCATCGAATCCGAGCTCCTCTTCGCACGTGCTCAATTCTTCCACATTCTTGGGCATCGGCCGATGCTTTGGTTTCGAAGCCGTCTCGGATTGCGTTGCGTTATTGTTTGCCGGGTACTGATTCACATTGCATATATAACTCGTGCGCGAGCCAATCTTCACTCCATTGGAATTGACTATGTTGTAATTTACCACATTCGTGCCTTGTGCTGAAAATTAATTTCAAAAAATTATTTAAAAAATATCGATAATATCGCAAATTTATAATTACATTTAATTATTTAAAAAGTGAGATGCCATACGAAATTTTCTTGCGAAATCTGTTGCATTCATTAAATATTTCCGTGATGAAATATTCAGTCTTTAATACAATATTTTAATTAATCGTTACATGATTATAAAAATTCGTCTTCTCCGCTGATATCGCGTAACTAGGGTGCTTAGATAACGAGTTTTAATTCCTTGATATCATCACTCAATACTGCAACTATCGTACGCATTATATTATTCCATCACGACGAATAATCCCGAGAAAGCAGTGGAAGCAGTGGAAGATTTGCATGACATAAAATTTCGGCTGCTATTACGATTCCGCTAAGACGATAAAGTCTCGTAAAATATTTTATGATATGAATATACGTTATTGCGCATTAAACTGCATATTTAAAAAAATATTGGTTTGCGAATAGAATAATTTATACTGCAGTTTTTTAAAGAATCGAATACCATAAAAATACACAACAGCCAAAAAAATGCTATCTTGTATCCTTTTTTTTAATATTTCTACAAATAAAAATCGGCAATTTGGTATTCCCCGAGTTTACGCTTTTAATCGTGATAAGGCATCTCATCATCAATCATACAAATATTTATAAGAGGAATATATGGAGCGGCGTATTTTCATTTTGATAAAATCGCGACGTCTATGCGGCATTCGTTTCTTAACAATTCTTTTCCCGAATCACCGTTAAATTAATTATAAATAATGCAAATGTCATACGTCAACTTGTCGAAATGCCTACTTAACACTGTGTAATCTCTAATCGCATCTTGCCTTTTTATTTATTTAATGAGATTTATTTCCATTTACAGAACCAAAAAGTCTAGTCACATAATTATAGAATCACACTAATAAATTTTCAAAAAGTTTCTGCGCACAAAGATATTTTTTATTAAATTATTATTTCCATATTGTCTATTTCTGTAAAAAAAAGAAATTTTCGCAAAAATATTCTTCTCCACTATAAAAAAAACTTCGAAATAACTCGCAATAAGGAAAAATATTTTAGATAAAAGTTATAAACGCAGTAAAAAATACTTGAATACAAAATAAAATTCTAAAATTGCTTCGTATTTAAAATTATGTAAAGGCTTGTTAACAGCTCGATAACATTTTTACACTTACAATATTTGTATTTTGGTTTTTTCGTCCTTGGTCGTTTATACTCCTTTGATTCGCCCGTCGACCTCGTATCGCCGAAGTCTTCCGGCTTTGTACAAAAATCGGTAGGTATCGTCGGCCTTGCGCCATTCGGCATCGATTTTTGTTCTTGCATCGACATCACGTCCTCTTGCTCCTTTTCTGGCGTAGCGGGCATCGACTTCGATTGCGTTTTCGTCAATTCCTCGTCCGAAGTCGGTGAAAGATTGTGCATGTAGCTTCCGGTCCGCGGCGGATCTGGTTTCGCGTCTGTCGTCAACATATCGTGAAATCGGCGCGACAGTTGGGACAGGATTGGCATTTTCTTAAACGCTCGATATGCCTGCAAATGATGTCTTAACGTTAAGATGTGTGCTTTAAAGACAATGTTCTGATGAAATATTTTTGAATAAGGACGAAATATAAGCATGATTATAAATTATAAAGAATAATTGCGACGTTTAATGCATCTCAATAAAATATTTCTAATGTATAATTAAATAAAAGAAGCCGTGTTATGCATATTTATCTTTAACTCTTTATTATTCACGTAAGGTGTAAATTCAGGTGGCTTTATAAATTCGTTAAATATAAATGTGAATGCTATTTATATACACATTTAGTGCAAATTATTTCGCAATTAAAAATTTTTTGCATTTATCTAAAAGATGTATAGAATATTATCCATTTTTATTTAATTATAAGTCATTAAAGAGAACAAGGAAAATTGAAATATAATGTGTGTTAGAAACATACACGACTAATTATGTTAAAAATAAACAATAATACAATATAATAAATATAAGTAATAATTGTTTTTTCAGTATGATGTACTCAGTTCTTTCTTTGTCCAATGCTTTTTCCATAATGGCTTGGTATATTGTTTTTCGATTGAAAAAAAAATTGTTTGCAATATAAAAGCTATAAGCAACCGAATTAGATTGAATATTTATATTTAAGTGTATTGTTCTCGTAATGTAGCGCTTGAGAGTTAATCCAATTTTTATATTTGCAGATTGCACATTAGAAAAAATGTACAATATTTAAAACATGGTTTAAATCATGTGCTTTCAAGTTTTACATTTGCTACATACGATATTTCTCAATGCCGCAACTAACGTCAAACCAGACACTCCTTACATTATTTTCTCGTTAAACAGATACAGCCAAGTAACCAAGCGTAGCATTTTTCCTCGGAGAAACTCGTGTTTATAGTCATAACAAAAGTATGACGAAGCATTGTCGAAAGCGTGGAAAAATATTTCACGAAAGTGTATAACATTTTATGGAAATTAGTTTTATCGTTTTTTTTCAACTCGCATATTTTTTAAAATTTAATTTTAGTAGTCTTTAACTTGACAATATATATTTTAGGTTATCTCTTAATTTAATAAGTTATAAGATTATATTGTAGTAATAAAATTGAAATTGTTTTGATTACAAACAAGCTCTATGATATTTATATTGAAGATGAATAAAATCTGTTGAATGAATCTGTTTTTCTGCTCTCACGGATGTGCCATTAGCCATTACCGTAATTATATGCGATTCTAAAATTAACAATCCACTTATCCCATATATAATACTTCCGGCGCTATTGTCAGATGCATACAAACATGCATCATTCGCTTACATAGTTATTCTTTGAAAATAATAAATAATATTCCGGTCTGCGAAAAAGTTAGCAATATAAAATTGAAACGCTATTGTGTTGTAATTGAAAAAATATTCTTGTAGTCTTGTAATTGAATACGTATAGGTGACATTTCACATGAAACGTTCGGTTGAAGATTTAGAATGTTATTGAAGATAGAGATCTTTTGAAGTTGTTATATTCGTACAATATTCGTACAA